ATCTTAATCATTCCCAGGAGTTAATGTACCTCTATGAATAATTTCAACTTCAAACTTGAAAATCCTGGTCAGTTTGAACTCCAAATTTGTCATTACTCCCATATATCACCGTTCTTCCTAACACAGCAGACAATGACTTATTGCCGATGTCCTACACAAGACTAACATATTGCCTCGTGTTTAGCTCTAATTATTTCCGAGGTAAATTAATATGAGAACACGCGTGTTTCTCAACATGTAGTCTCATAGGTAGAATATGGCTATTGTGATGGATGGAGCTAGTAGCTGATGGATTTAAATGTAAAACATCCTGGTAGTTTTATAAACTGGATTTAGTAATAGTAAATATTTAAGGGGCCCTCTGAGGCACATACTACCAGGGCAGACACAAAACATTTCATGAAAGGTGACAGTTATATCAATGAACTAACTGTCCTTTCAAACAATCGATGGTGTTCCGATATTACAATTAACTGAATACGAATCTCTTGAACAACAACAATGACTATCTCTAAAATCGTGTGGTGTATGCAAATATTATTTATATCCTGTATATTAATAACAACAGCAGTCTACATGTTTTTTCCTGCCTCAACTGGTGAGTATTAGACTGTTGTTCAAATCGCATTCAAAACTATTAACTCTCATATCTCCATGATGAATTGAGTAACAATGACTATCTCTAAAACCGTGTGGTGTATACAAATATTATTTATATCCTGTATATTAACAACAGCAGTCTACATGTTTTTTCCTGCCTCAACTGGTGAGTATTATACTGTTGTTCAAATCGCATTCAAAACTATTAACTCTCATATCTCCATGATGAATTGAGTAACAATGACTATCTCTAAAACCGTGTGGTGTATACAAATATTATTTATATCCTGTATATTAACAACAGCAGTCTACATGTTTTGTTCTGCCTCAACTGGTGAGTATTAGACTGTTGTTCAAATCGCATCAACGACTATTAACTCTCATATCTCTATGATGAATTGTATTTTTAAAACAATGCGCTTGCAGATAATTGATGGTAAATTTCAATGCAAAGTTATATCGCTATGGGTCAGCTGGGATTCGCCACATACATATATCGGGATACATATACCAATGTTGCAAACACGAAGCAATCACCTTCTGAATAAGTTCAGATGACACCTTTCGGTGTTCATTAAGAACAATATGGCCTGGCCACCAAACCAGATAACGAGAAAAATCGGGAATTCGAGTGCAATAGTTTATATTATTCTTTATCAACATAACAAATTAACAGTATATCGTACAGCGGCTCTCCCAAGCAAGTCACACAAAAAATAATAAAATGATTATTCAGGTTCGAATCTACAAATTGTGAATATAAAACAAAAAGCGCGGGTTGTTGATACCATGGGTGGTAGATACGTGAGTAAAGACAATGGCGAAATTTATTTACATCCACATCTGGTGAAATACGAATTCCCATGTTCGGGTTCTTGGCCTCTGATTATGGAAAGCAGTAAACAGTCTCCTAATAATAGGATAATTGACTAGACTGGACCCCAAAGTGTTCTTTATGACCTGTAGCCAATTATCGCTGTGTGGGACAAACCTACTTCGTCAAACAGGTGGACAAAAAAGTCTGCTACCTGGCCGATAGAGGGATGGCATGGATCAATCTCCCTTTCACTACACCAACTAGTGTATGCTCGCCACTTCGAGTTGTAGGCAGTGTTGGTGGAATCCCTGTTCACCCTGGCCAGGATGTTGGCAGCCCGCTTAGATAGACCTTTCATCTGTGCGAGTCTACTGAGAGCCTTCATGCGTGTAAGTGGTACATCTTTGGGCTTGTTGGTAGTGCGCCGTCTGGTTGGGACAGCAAGTCCAGTAGGTTCGGAAGAACTATCCGGAAGCACTACTGGTGTTCCGCGTCCCCCCTCCTTGTTGATGTAGGAGACCACTGCTGTGTTGTCTGTGTGGGTAAAAAGCGCTAGCACTACTAAAAAGCGTAGTAGTGCTAGGTGCACCACTTTCAGCTTGAGTCAGTGTATATAGCTGTCCCGAACCCAATGCGGGGGCCATATTCCTTGGGCTCCTCACCCTTGGAGGGAGGCATTCGTTAACATAGCTGTGACGAGTGGGTCCATGGGGAACCCTGTCCGAGGTTGGCCAGTGAGGATCACCAGGGCAGGGCTTCCTTCACTTGGTCAGAGATCAATACCCACCTGTCTAGTTCCTGTAGGTGAGCTCGGTGTTTCAATAACAAGCGTTGGACCAGGCAGCTGCATAACGCAGCCTGGGGAACTACCCTTCAAACTGAGGTCATCATTCAGATAATCCACATTAGTTCTTGGAGGGACAGAGGTGACGCTGACTAGGCGTTCTGCTAGGCTGCTTAGCGCTAGGCAACATGCTTGAGATGGATGCACCAGGCCTACCTCAGTGTCGAACTCCATGCCCAGAAACACCAACTGTTGCATTGGGTCGGGATGGGACTTTTTCTGATTTACTAAAAAGCCCAACTGGTGAGGTAAATCCTGCATTAGCCTTACTTGTCTTGGTTAATAACCCCTTGTCTGGGTTGTGTAGTAACCAATCGTCTAGGTACGGATTGCTGTTTACCGACATTTGGTGAAGCAGCAGCACTACATGTGTCATAACTCCGGTGAACACATTGGGCGCTGTGCATAACTCGAAGGGCAACATCCGAAATTCTGGGCGATTTGAGATGGCAACTCGCCGGGTGCATCGGTATGTGCAGGTAGGCCCGCTTAAGTTTAGTGGGGCTAGCCAGTCGAAACAGTGGATGGAACCCTGAATGGCGTCTCCATGCGGAACCGATCGAGGAGCATATACTGATTCAGTCTGCCTAGGTACAGAACTGGACGTCAGCCACCTGTAGATTTGGTACTATAAACACATTTGGGTAGAAGCCTGGACCTAATGCCGGCTGATCTACCCTGTGTATGGCGCCCTTTGCCAGCAAATTGCTACTTCCTGTCTGATTGCTTTCGCCTTGTGGGAGTACCCTGACAGTGCCCAATAGGGGAGACACTGACATGGGAGATAGAGATTTCAGTGGTATCCTGTAACAGAATGTCACCACCTGGAAAGATCCAGGGAACGGTCACCCGCTGACACCAAACCGGACTACAGCGGTGCAATCTGTGTATGACAGGGATATGTGGCCATGGGTTCAGCAGTTGCGAGGGGTGGGTGCTCTCTTCTGTCATGAGGTGAGTTTCCCCCAAGGCCTGAAGTAGTCACTAAGTTGTGACCTGGCCACTCGCCAAACACATGCCTGTCCCCCCGGTTGCAGAGGTAAGCGTCAAACATGCTTCCCCACTGATGAGGTGGTCGACTGCCCAAGGAGGGTGAGAAGCCACCACCTGGACCTTTCCTCTCTGGGGGCGCGTCGCTACTCTTCCCTCCCATTGAAGGGTATGAGGGTTTGCCTCCTGGCTGACTCTGGCTAGTGGACGACGCCCTAGGGCGTTGTGTTTTCTGTGCTTGGGGTGCCCTCAGTTTACCCCTGGCAGGGCCAACTGACTAGCATATTAGATCTGAACCCGTTGGTTCATTGCACTGCCAGCATGTGTCTAAGACCACGTCTCGTTGCACAGTAGTAGCCACGGCCAAGAGAGCCAGCTGACACTAGGGGATGTCGCACATAGATGTGCGGTGGCCCACCAGTAAATGTGTCACCTGGTCTAGGAGGCTGGTGCATTCTGCCACCGTGGTCTCAGAGTCCTGGTTGCGCACAATAATGTGCTCAAGCCCGCCCAACACCGTTTGCGCACCCTGCGCCCCACTCTGCACTCGGCCGGACAGGGAGAGACGAGTTGACTGGGTTGCTTTGGATCAAAACGCCTGTGATAAGCGCTGAAGCAACCATGAGTGGTAGCCTTAGAATCAAGGCTGGGGTATTTACATCGTATCACTAGGATCGATGATACTCCGCATCACCCCAATGGCGTGGCTCACCGAGTCGTTATGAATGGAAGACTCTGAGAGTCCGCCCGAGGTTCCGGCTGTATCCAACACAAGCGAACTGTCTCCTTTCCACTTAAATATGTGAGAAAGAGAGCGTGTTCGACTGTGTGTCTCATGGCAGGGTCGGTTTTCTCTGGGGTCGGTAAGAAGGGAGTCAAAATCCACAGCGGAGACTGGACACAAGGGTTAATTTGTAATCGTTCAACCATTACCACGCGACGAACCCTGACTGGCTGAAAGTAGGGGGAGGTGCAACGAGTGCCCTGACCCAAAGCACTGCCCTAAAATCGAATGCTTGGCTGCCAGCATCCCCATTGGCATTCAGCGCGTGAGGCCCAAGAGGAGACCAGGTACAACTAGCCTGAACCTCGGCCTCACTCAAATCAGCGGGAGAGCCGCGACTGGGAACATGGGGGTTCGCCGGAAGAGACATGTTTGAATGCAAGCAATGCTTTCGTGTTTCTTCCTGCTTGCCCACCGAGGGGCCACAGTTGAGACAGCTCGCTCCAACTGCATCTGTTCTACCCGACAGTCCTTCGACCAAAGCCCTCATCTCAGAGGCAAACCCAGCGCCGTGCGAGGAAGAATCCACAAAGGGACACTCAATGGGCCCCATAGGAGGAAATACCTCCAGGGGCACAGCCTGAAACTGCCTGAAAACACAGACTGTGAGGATCCCCTCCGATCGGCAGGGGAGACCCAAAAAATATTGGTATCTCCATCATCGGGTCTTCCACTCGACGTCTCGGTACACGGTAGCCAAGTGTGAAGACTTTCCACTCATGCCAAACACGCAACTCACTTTAACCGATTTTTACTGGACGCGCGACCTTGCTTGACGGCAATTTTCAATCACCCAATTCATAATGTGCAGAATAGATGTTTTGTCACGTGTGTATCAATTTCTGGTGCTGTGTATTGAAACGTTAGCATGGTTGTGATGGTTGTGTAGATACTAAACTGAACTATTTCTGTCAGAAGGCAACCTAAATATTATTATGTTACATTATTTCTAGATTATTCATATAATGTACTTCACAGGTAAAGGATAGTGTAATCATCGTATTTCCAAAATTGAGACCAATTTGTATTTAAGGTGCACACTGAACATCTGTCAACTAAACACGGGGATGTTGCTTGAAATTCAATCATAGATAGTACTAGTATCGTACTAGTACAGGGTTTGCTGTAAAAACGTTGCATATACAATATGTGTACATACATATATAATAGCAGCAACAACAAACAATGCCATTCATTCATTGTCGTATGCAAACGACTAGTTCGAGGCAATCTCACACACATTATGTTAATGAGAGCGCCCTCCTATAGATCCTATAGATATAAACACCAACAACAAAAACATTTTTTCAATAATGTTTTATATAAAAATTATTACAATAAGATTTCGAGTAAACTTTATAAATTACTTTTTATGTTTTTCATTCCAGTTTTAAACAGCCTTGTATCAGCTGGTTTATGTACCAAATTGGCAACCATACCCCCTCACTTTGTTAGTGAGCTTCCATACATATACGTAATTACGCCTACTTACGCAAGATCGGTACAGAAAGCAGAACTCACACGTATTGCCAATACTTTTTCTCACATCAAAAACCTGCACTGGATTGTGGTAGAAGACTCTGATGAAAGAACTAATTTGACAACACATTTTCTATTTCATTGTGGTATAAATTATACACATTTGCATATTCGGTCGATAGAACATAAACGTCGAGGAGTTGAACAGAGAAATATTGGGTTAGCATGGTTACGACACAATCGCGAGCCTAATGTATCAAGAGGAGTTGTTTACTTTGCGGATGACGACAATACATACTCAATTGAGATATTTGAAGAGGTAATGAAGCGTGCACATGTTCGTTTTCATTCAGTCATTAGTAAAAATGAAATCGTAAGCAATATATCCACACACAGTATCTAATTATGTCAGTACATCGATGTACGGATTTTTTGATTTGTTTATAATGTTAATGAATTAATTAGTTCTATATACATCACATTATAATGTTATCACATTATATGTTAACATTTCAACACAAATTCAATGCTTTTGTACTACAATGTGCATATGCACTGTTATCTAGTCAGGGTGTGAGTCATCCTTGTACAATAATTATTACACCTTAAATTTTATCACAAAGCATATACACTTATTTCGAAAAGGATTTGTCAAAAACTGGTGTTTTTAAAATCAAGTGGCAATAGTCAGGGAGACAGGGATGATGTGTCAGCATTGTCATAAAGTTATTGACAGGTCATACTTGTTTACAACTCTGAAAAGACAATTGGAATCTACCAGGTGTGCTTGTGATATAAATGTCTTGCCTACGTGAAACAGGTGCTAGCAAGACTACAGGGGGGGGAATCAATCAAAAAACATTAATGCACAAAACACTCACTTGCTGCTCTTAAATTTAAGGCTTCTTTTGAGGGTCCACAAGTAGTGAATATGTTAAATGCTTTCAATACAGAATATTTTCAGTGACATCATATTTCAATATTGCTTTCAGATGAGATATACTAAAAAAGTATCCATATGGCCAGTCGGTCTTACTTTTGAGGCACGCTATGAAACTCCTATAATTGGTCCTGATAACAAGGTCAAATCTTGGCATGCCTGGCATTCCACTGAAAGAAAGTTTGCTACTGACATGGCGGGGTTTGCTATTAATCTGAACCTACTGTTGAATAACCCACATGTGTGGTTTGATAACACAACGCGAGATGGATTTTTAGAATCGTCACTACTTTCGCAGTTGGTAGAACTGAATGATTTGGAACCAAAGGCTGACAACTGCACAAAGGTACCACGGAATGTTTATACATAATAATAAATACATGTTAATAGTCTGAATGTGTTCATTATTGAATATTCAAATACGTAATTCCTTACATTCAGGTGTTCTTCACTGCATGGTGAAAACATTTGTCCCCAAGGAAGTTCGTAACTGGGCTTTATTACCAATCACTTCAGCGTGGTACAAACAGTTTGTGTTCAGGGGTCGGTGATACCAAAGTGAAAAATGGTTGTACACATGGGGTAATTCCTGGGTCAGGCAAAAATACAATATGTAGTGTTTTTATGCACTCCGTGGTTATTTGTTTTTTGCTGAAAACATCTCTATTTTCTAATGACAGAGTCACGACAGTTTCACTCGGACTCGGAAATCTGCATTGTTGCTTGAATGTGAGCTAATTAAACACGTTGTCCAGACCAGCAGAAAAGTGTGTTACAGCCAATTTTAACAGCCCATCACGTGATTTTACTCAGAATATTTACGTGGATTGAGGCTATTTAAATTTACACAGGAATGATTGGGAGTTGAGTATGTGAGGGATTGTGTCAAAAGAGATGTGTTTACTGAAAAGTAATCTATCCTTCTTTTGCATCGATGACCATTTCTGTTTTAGTATTATAATACTGGTTTGCAAATGTTGAATTTGTATGCTGTGCAATGTTTTTTTTTCACCGAAACGCTTCTAATGGTTGAATCTCGGGTTTAACTCAAGAAAGTGTAATGTAGGCCTACTTCCCATATTTCATTTACCGTGGGTGTTGAAGGAGTGCACCACGTGTTTCGTTTGAATACAATAGTGAAATCAGTGATGTATTTTCTCAAAAAGGGATAAGGAAAGGGGTATTCGCCTATTTAATTTTTAGCAGGGGCGGTGAACTGTGTCATGGAGAGGGTTTTTACTAAACGTGCAATAAATAGTTTTCTCTTGGAAGCCCCGGCATTGCTGCAGTATTATACTGTTAAGTGATTAATGAAAGGCTTTCCTAATTTAATGAATTATTTTTATAATGGTGCTTCTGGTAGGAAATTGAAAATGTTATTTCCTGGTTTTATCTGTGGTAAGAACATAACTTTTGTCAAATTACGTAAGCACATGCACTGCTAATAGAGGGAATACTGTAACAAAATATTATCATTTCTTTAACATTACTATATATGTCAATCCTTTTAATTTTTTATCTATTTTAATTTTTTTAAATCAGGATTAGAATGATATATGCTCTAATGAGTTTTTAATCACTTGTTCATTACCATGCACATTGGGCTGTAATACCTTGATATATTTAACCTCATAAACTTGTTAATCCCTTTAAGTGGTATTGTCTTCCTATTTTTATCATTTCCCTATTCAAAAAATGTAATTTTATACATTACTGTGTGCAGTATCTCACTCGAATTTACACAAGAAGATTTACTCAACCTTACGTTCAGTTTGAAGTCATATTTTAAATAATATTTTGTCAGTTACAAACACTTTGTAAACTATTTTTCTACTTGCAAACGAAATGTGACATTTAAAACTTTTAGTTTCTTCATTAATTAATTGTATGTGTATATGTGACTACGTATGTAAACTAATATTTCTCATTTTGATACTCAAATATACCTCTTGACCCTGAAACGGCCCTTCTAGTACTGCGGGATACATCACTTTCACTGAAACATTTTTCCGCTAAAATAAATTCCGGTGAAAATGACATTTCCCTTATATTCTATTTTGAGACTTGACAGCGCGCAGTGAAAATTAGGTATGAGTATGTGTGTGCATGTGTTAGTATCGTGGCATAAATAATTGGGTAAAAACAGAAAGTAGTGCGTACCACATAGCAAAATAGTGGTGTGTGCACATGTATTGGGCGAGATTTAGTCAGACCCATTATTTTCAGACGTGAACCAACATATCTTGTTATGTCATGCTTTCACACAACCCTTTTAAAATGGTCGTAATCTTTCAAGAAAATCGATCAAGGCATGTGTGAGAAACGGCTGGGAACACGTTGAAATATTGCCCTTTCATGTCGCCAGTCGACCATTTGCCTTCGACTCTGTCTCGATTGTGTCATGTCTTAATAACCACTGAAACGAAATTTAGTATTTCGGGGACTGCATGTAAAGAAATATGTTAATTAAATGTTACATTGCATATACATTCAATGTGATGATTGTGTTTTTCTCCTATTTCCAGGTACTGGTTTGGCACACAAAAACTATCACCCCAGTTTTTAGTGAAGACAAGACATGGAATTTAGAGATTTAATTTGTCATAAGATTAATTGGAGTAAACAATGTCATGAAATGAAATGGTACATCTGTTTCAAGTCTTCCTTATTATAGTGTTCTCATGTCAGTTTCTTTTGATAACTTGAAGAAAGGAATGGAAATGTGATTCAATACTACACATACCAAGTAATACAAATAATGCACCCACTGATAGCGGCCGCTGCGCACATTTTAGTCGACATCTTTTGGAAATATAGAGTAGACAATATACATTTTCACAAACACATTTGTAAACATGATTTTTAATAGTAAAATAACCTTCTTGCTTACTTTGTATATTTGCTATCAAACAACCCTAGCAGTCAGTGGTGCACTATATGCTGAATACCGTTTTAGTTTATTGACAACATTTTTGTACTATATAGTTATTATGTTTATTCACTGTATGAAAAACCATAATTTGGTGAGAATGATACAGGTATTGATTTCCGTGAATTGACGGAGATTATCATCAATTACTTTCTCTACAATGGTTTATGTTTCATCTTTTGTGATGACAGCTGCATATGATAGCTGTTAGCATGATGTTGAATAGAGAGAGCACCGTATTGGATAAAAGATGAATGAGGAGCTTTCAGAAAGATCTGTAGAATGGGATGTGCACTTTTACACATAGTATTGCCCTAGTCTTCTATTGCTGTGCTGAAGAGGTAGTCTTCTGCCTCATTCACAACATACCACAATACATTGATTGTCATAACAAGAGTATGTGTACGTGTATACCTGGGAGATGACGGTTCGTGGCAAAATCACATTTGTACTTTAGAAGATACCAGATTGGAGACAATGTTGTCAATGTTTCATCGTTTTTATTTGTCCACAGTTTTTAATGTCAGACAAACAAAATATAAAGTTTCAATATTGACACTATTAGGCGTTTTGGGGTGATTGTACTGATGTGAATGTTAATATTCTTGTTAGTTAGTTTATTTATTTCATTCCTGCCTCTAAATTGAACATTATTACCTCAGGAGATAGGGATTTGTATGATTTGTACTAGGGATTTGTACGCCTGGTATTAGTTTTATACAGTCAATGACAATGATTCCTTCTCATCAGTCATTGCTTCCAACTTTAACATATAATGTATTGCTGGGTGTTCTTTGGCATAAACTTGACAGGATCATGTAACAGCACAAGAGAGACATTTTGGGGGGGGGCGGTATTCTCCAGATTCTACAATGAATCTGGAGAAGATGCTGAGGGTTGGTATAGGGTTCCCCATGTTTTATTTGCCTAAGTGAGCCTGGAAGGAGTTTTAGCTATGGCAGGACAGATATCGGCGAGGTTTCTCTCAAACGTATGGGGGACCTCAGTATGTGGTACACTATGAATGCCTGTTCAGATTGTCTGTAGTTCAGCACCTATGTAGTCTAATCGTGCTCTGAAATTTTTGTAATCCAAGGAACACAGACGTCATGTATGTCATTTACATGCATCATACTGCAAATGTGTGTTTTCAACATGATCTTGTTTAAACCTAAACGGAAATCATAAATCTAGAATTCACACCGCTTGATGTGACATAGTTCAGCCTCTTCTTATCCTTCATAAATGCTTTTCTTTCTTAATGTGGTGTCATTCATTTATAGTGAAAAGTCGTGGAACTTTTCTAACTTTTATAATTCAAGTTTCAAATTCCTTCTAATTTTCAAGAACAAGTTGTTGATGCTGTTGGCACGTAGTGGGTTTCAGGCTGTTAACACACCGTGCAAAGTTGTTCAAACTCATTGCAAACTTCTACAAAGTTGGTAGATGTATTTGATATGTATTGTTGGCGCATAGATACATGAAATAGCCGCCAATTCGGCTTAATTTCAAATAACCTATGCAGCTGTGTTGTAGGTGACCGACACATGTTTAAAGTAAAGCACAATCGAGCGTGTTTAGTCCTTGCATGGGAGACACCCTGAGTAAACGAGCAGTTGTTGTTTTTTTGCTTTATCACACACGTGCAAAAGTTATAAGACAACGTTCCTACATTCTTTTTCGTGCATTTTTTTTAACTTTTTTAATTAATGGAAAGTTTCCAATTCCTTCTAATTTTCAAGAACGAGTTGGTGATGCTGTCGGCACGTAGTGGGTTTTAAGCTGTTAACACGCCGTGCTTGGTTGCAATGTTGTGCAAAGTGATTACAAAGTTGGTGCATGTATTTGTATATATGATCTAAGTTGTTAGCACACAGATACGCGCAGTTGTAAAGTCAGCAAATTTAATAAAAGCCAGCTGAAAGAAGCTTGTGGAAGTTCAACTTAGTTGACTGTAAAATGTTTGAAAACAGCGTGCAAATTTGGAAAAAGCGAAGGAAATGTTGGCGGAGTTACTTGTATATGTAACCTAAGTCATTGTCATGACATCCCCGCAGTTAAATTTCGAAAACATTAAGTAAATGTATCGAGAATGCCTCATATATAAGCAGATTATCGCAACATCCAACCGAAAAATCGACAACAAACTGCTTATAAAGTTGTGAAAAGCGATTGCAAAATTGGTAGTTTCATTCGGGATTGTTACCTATGATATAATAATAACAAGACCCATAATTAAAGTTCCAAATGTGAATAAAATATTTCGTAAATTGCTGTTAAATT